CTTAATATCTGTCTATTACAGCCACTCTAACACAGCTGCTCATTGGGTATTTTGTGCTTTTCCTGCTCTAACACACCTGAAGCTACTTAACCGGAACCAATACCATCCATTAGTGAGAGTGGATTATTATTTAAATCACCTTCTGGCACAATAAGTGTAAATAACAGTGCTCTGAATGTTTAATTCAAGTGTGTACATTGGGTCCATATCCATAAAATGGGCTTTATTGCATCACATGACTATGTAAGACAGCAATACAGCAAGTCTGCTCTGCAGGTCAAGAGCAGCAACTATGGCAACAGTGAAACTAAGAAAAAAACTGCAGATTATTTTGGCACTGACCGATAGAATGTGACACCCTGCAGCAGCAGACACACATGAGCCTAAGGTAACAATGCTTGGCATTGGGCTAGAGGGGTATAAAGCCCCCTAGTATTGTAGAGCAGTGGAACTGTGTTCTCTACACTCATGAAAATGACGGTTCTTCAAAGGTTCTTTAGTAAAGAAAATTGTTCGAACACTCAAAGAACCCTTTGCATGATTAAATGGTTCTTTGCATCATGAAATGGTTCTTTAGACTGATGGAGAATGTGTTCTGTATGATTCTATATAGAATGCTTTTGAAAAGGGTTCAATAAAGCACCAAAAAGAGTTATTCTAGTATTATTTTGCCAAAATTTAATAATAATAATACCCTGTTTTGGTTATGCATAGAACCATTTTCAAAAAGGTTCTATATAGAACCATCTACAGCACATTCTTCATCAGTCGGAAGAACCATTTGACAAGGCAAAGAACACTTTCAATCAAGCAAAGGGTCTTCTGAGTGTTCATGAGATGGAGATGGAGATGGAGTTCCATTCAATAACTTTGGGTCAGTTTGGAGTGATTCAGAACTGACCATCCAATATCATCCTGATCCTGAATGCGCTAAATTTCAAATGATAATTTTTGTATGTGTGTGAAAGGTCACACTGTTGTAGTTACTTGTCATGTAATCAAGCTAATGTTAGCATGGTGGCTAATTCAGAGTTGCAGCTAATCCAAACCTGCTTAGTTTGGATTGGCTACAATAACACAGCCCAACTCAGTAGTATAACATTTTAATTTTTTAAAGATTTCTGCATAATCTGCACAATATTAACAGGTGAAGTCATTCAGAGTGGTTTGGTGTGAAATTTTTCATTCTAGAGAAACTCACCGAGTCAGAATTGTTCACAGTGGTGGTGATAGGAACCAGATGGCCACCTCTAAAAGCTCCCTCACAGAAAGTTACTACATGAAACGGTTATGAATGCACTGCATGATGTCTGAGACACTGTTTTATGCTAGTTTTGAGAAGAATTCATCCATGGTGGAGGGATACATAATATGCAGGGTGTTGTGAGGCAAAATAGTCCCTGAAAAAAATATATATTTTCAGATTTTCCACTATTTTACCATCGTCAGCATTCCTTATAAAACTCAGAAGACACGTGTAGGTTCACTGGTGGTTTTGGATAGTAAATAAAATGGCTATATTTGTGTTGTAGCCATGGCAACCCCTGGTTCCTATCAGCACCACTGTAAAGAAATCAGCTTTTCTGTTTCTTTAATACAGGAGTCCAAGCATGTACAGCAGGGCAGGAAAAGGCCAGCACTAACTGACCCTTTCACTGAAAGCAATACTGTACACGGCCTCTGAAACACTCCACACTCGCCCACTGCCAAGTCCAGACGCCTCTAATCCATATTTATACACATCTCTAATGACACACCCCATCCAGAGAGGCTCACATGCTCACTAATACTGTAACTCAAATATAGACACACATACACTATATACATGTATCTAATACACATTCCCTACACTACTGCCTCCCAATAGTTACAGACTCCTTACAAACTCCTTACAGTGCTGAAGATTTAAGGCATTAACTGCATTTATAATATGAACAGTTACAATCCCACAGTTCTTGTTTAGTCTATATTCAGTATAAAGGCTCCATAAAGACCTAAAACCTCCACAACCATTCACACCATCATCTGTTGGAGCCTCAGACTGGATTAGCAGCTGCAGTCACTGATGCAGGTTTACAATACAGCTAATGTTGACAATAGCAAAGAAAAGCCCATCTACAGTTCAGCCACTGAGCTGAGGCGCTGTAACTGTGTAACAGCATGATTTGCTATAGTTTACCTGAGGTATATTCAATGTTTTAATGCACATTTGCTGTTTATTTTCAGAACTTAATATATTGGGAAAAACATTAAAAACCTCAAATGTGGCTTGTGCAAAAGTTACGGCACATATATTTTTTATGCTAAAATGTTTTAACTCAGCAAATACATAAAAACTGTGCAATGTCTGAGGTAAAATTAGTCCTTTTGCATACTACTGTATATATATATATATATATATATATATATATATATATATATATATATATATATATATATATGAGATCAACAACTAACATATCAGCAGCAGAATATGGTCAGTCTAATAAAACATGAAAGCAATAAAATAAAAATTAAAAAATAAAATAATAGTAGTAATAGAAAGTAAAATAAGCGACAATATTAATAATAAAAAATGTAAAAAATACAAAAAAAAGGCAAAAACTAATTAGAGTAAATTAGAGACCACTATAAATAACCCTTCAGACTTTTTGTATTATGACCATTTTAAAGTGTGTGTAAATGCTAATTGTTTAATAGTTTAATAAAATACAGAGAAATTAAATGTAAATATAATAAAGACTATAAAATTATCTTCACCTGCTAATAACGAACAGTTGAAAAATCCTCAGGTAAACGCACTCACCTGAGCTTGAATGCGTCTGTGTCTCTGGCCAGTGCCTGTCCGAGTGGTCCGGCTGAGTGCGGCTCCGCTCCTCTGGCCTCCTATTTTAAGACGCTCCCTAATGTCAGCCATCCAAAATGGATATGCCACCTCTGTCAAATATGGGACCATCTGTAAACTCCACAAAGGTCAGAGAGCAGAGCCGGTGGATGTGGGAAACGTGTGAAAAGGTTTGGATGCTGGCCAAGAGCTTTGAAAACACATCAAGAAAACACAAAACACCTGAAAGAAATGCAGTACAGTGTTCAACAAAGCTAAAGGCATTATTTATTATTAATAAGTCCCTTTTGTTGCCGGAGGAATAACATGGAAGACAGAAAAGGTTAGGGGTCACTCATGCAGCTGCAGTAACATTAGCCTGAAGGTCATTTCGAACTGAAAGGGCAGATGCTTGTGACCCAGTCAGACTTAATGTCTGAGGTAAAATTAGTCCTTAGACGTGACACAGCCACAATAACCACTTAAAGGGCCCATATCATGGACAACTCATTGAATTCATCATTTTGTGATGCCAATGCATTTATGTTTATGCACCTGTTTAAGCTACAGCAGTTTAGCTCCACCCACTTACACTGAAGTTAAAAAGAGGGTTTCAGCCCAGACTACTTTTCGAATGAGGCAGCTGGTCAGAATAGAACTTATTAAGATACAGTCACAGGCAAAAGTTTAGGCATCCCTGGTCAAGTAGAAAGAAAAGTTAATCACTACAATAACCACATTAATACAAATATATACATTCTTATAGACTATATTTTTGGAAGTTGATATATGCGCTGGATATATATTAAATAGCAAAAACGAAGCGCCCGAATACTCACTGTACGAACAAAAAAAAGTCTGTCTAAAACCAAAATTGTGGCCTGTGCAAAAGTTATGGCACATTTTATATTTTTTGTGCCAACATGTTAAACTCGGCAAATACATAGAAATATATATATATATATATATGCTGAATCCAGATCAAACAGTTGACATCAAACCTAGTATTCTAATTGTGCTAATCAGAAAATTGTCACCACAACAGCCACAGATAAAGAACTCAATTCTCAATTCAAGTGGTTCAGCGCTCCTGCAACACCGATGTTAAAACATATTTTGGCACTGCCACTGCCCAGTGATGCCACAGCCATCCCTGTCTTAATTTTGGAAAGTAGGACATATTACTTTGAAAAGAGGGAGAATCTTTCAGTTTTTCCACAGTGAACAGATGGGCAGCAGGATGCTAACATTACTGGTACTGAGTGCTGATTGGTTGGCATTACTGCTACTACGTGCTGACTGGATGGCACTACTTCCATTGAGTGCTGATTGATTGGCATGACTGCTATTGAGCGCTGATTGGTTGGCATTCCTGCTACTGAGTGCTGATTGGTTAGCATTACTGCTACTAAGTGCTGATTGGTTAGCATTATTGCTATTGAGTGCTGATTGGATGGCATTTCTGCTACTAAGTGCTGATTGGATGGCATTACTGCTACCGAGTGCAGCTTGGATGGCATTACTGCTACTGAGTACTGATTGGTTGGCATTACTGCTACCGAGTGCAGCTTGGATGGCATTACTGCTACTGAGTACTGATTGGTTAGCATTACTGCTACTGAGGGCTCATTGGTTAGCACTACTGCTACTGAGTACTGATTGGTTAGCATTACTGCTACTGAGTGCTGATTGGTTGGCATAACTGCTACTCAGTGCTGACTGGTCGGCGAGCCAATCAGCGCACTGCCTGAGCAAAGGGTTGGCACTCACTGACATTATAAATATATGTAATATATGTAAGACTGTTAGAAAGTCCTATAAACTTTCTTGGAGTCCTTCAGCTGCGCCCTCTAGTGTCTGACCAACCCAGAAGATATTACTGAGTGGCAGTGCTCCTCATTAATACTCTTCTGCTTCATGGGGTGTTAAGATTGGTTTAGAAATTTCTCACACAGTGTATTTCCACCATAATCGGTCTCTCATGGTTGTCCCCAGACGTTCTTGTTACGGGACAAGGCAAGTCCTAGCTGGGGAGTGGAACTGGACACAGTCAAATTGTGGAAAAATTGGATTAAAAAATAATAAAATTAATATATATATATATATATATATATATAACAGTTGAGTCTAAAGAGTATGATCAGCACTCATAATAAAGACAGACTCAGTACAGTCAGTAGGTAAAATTCTCTTTATGGCACGAATGCAGAGATGATACAACTCTAGAGAAATCTTCAGTGTAGCACATTAGGAATGAGATTACACAGACACAGGTCTAACATATTAGAAAACTGAAAAAATGCAAAAACAAACATGAAAATCAAAAGTCATTGGTCCCAGTTCTGTGGTCAGGTGCCTTAACTGTAAACCTTCGATTATAGTGTTACTTAAATGTGCTTTAGACTTAAATTGAAGATAGAAAAAAAAAATACCTTCACCTGTCATTTGTCCTCTTAGCTCTGACTCCTATAAAGATATAGACATACTCAGTTTTACATGGAATTACATTACAGACACTGTTTCAATAAAGCTGCATGTATGTACATGTTCAAGTACCAAAACCACACGGTTTAAAGGGAGACCAGAGGATAATTTCCACATCAGGCACAAAGTTCACTCTTAAAAATAAAGGTTCCTAAATGGTTCTCAGCTGGGACATACGGTTCTAGGAAAAAAAAAAAAAAACTTAAATTAGTGTAGAACTTGTTCAGTATGTGGAGGTTCTCTAACTTTTAAATAATTTACAGAAATGATTGCTTGACCAATCCATGTCCAACAGCTAATTCCGATGAAAAATGCCACATTAGAAATGTTTTCAGGAGTCTGACGTGATTACATCTTGTGTAGTTCTACTTCAGGCAGTCGTCTAGCAGTACACATTTGAATTTTTCTGATTACATGTAATTTTTATATTTTTATTCACACTCAAATTTGGATTTTCAATAAATTTGGTAAAAATTTGGGCTTTTGTGTGACCAAAATATGATTTTATTTATATTTATTATAATTATATTATATTAGTATTTCAGATGCGGGCATTAAGGCTGAAGAATCATCCATTCTAAAGTTCTTTAGGGAAACTAAAAATGGTTCTTCTGTCTTATAAATAACCATTATTGGCACCTTTTCTTTTTAAGAGTCTTCATGAGATCTTATTCCTTGTTCGAAGGAGAGTAAAAGCTTAATATCATTATCATACGAGAGCAAAAGCTTGGAGCAGGAGAATAAACACAGGGTTTGTATACATTCATCTACAAAAACACAAATGGAAAAAAAGAAGAAAGCGTGTAGTCCCACATTTATTAACCTTTAGTGACTACGTGTCCCTATGAGCTTGTGTAACTCTCTAATCCACACTTAGGACTTTAGACCGCTTAAAGGGGGATTCCACCAAAGTTTCAAAATTTCTGCATAATTAAATAGTTAAGACAAAGTCATTCAGAGTGGTTTGGTGTGAAATGCTCCATTATAGAGAAACTGTTCACAGTGGTGGTGACAGGAACCAGACGTCCACCTCTAAAAGCTTTTAGGTTTTGGATAGTAAATAAAATGTCTATATTTGTGTTGTAGTCATGGCGACCCCTGGTTCCCATCACCACCACTGTAAAGAAATCTGAACCATTTCACACCAAACCACTCTGAAAGACACTGTTCACATCTCAAACATCTCTGAATTACTCAGAATTTTAGAGAAATCGATGGAATTCTCCTTTAAGGAAAGAACAAGTTAGCAAAAAAGAGACATAAGAGTGACCCTCAGCGGACTTACATATCTAATCTGTATATTTACTTTATCATTGCACACCTCGCATAAAAACAAACTGAAATTCATGTACAAACTGGCATCAGGTCCGTATTGCACTGCAACGCTGTGCTGTAGTGCGTTTCTTTCTCCCTATAAACACAGGCATCGCTCTCTAAACAAGAGCCTCTAAACGAAAACCACGCGGGTAACAGAAAAAAAACTACGGCTGTTATTTTCCATTAATCACAGCCTTCTCAATTCGCGGCAGCCTGCGCCAGTCAGGCATCTTTTACCTCAAGGGGGCGGCGGTTTATTTTATATTCTACAGGTCAGCACGGCTATAATTGTGTGTAGAAAACTGGGGCCACTAAAGTGCATCCACCCTTCAGGTTATTGTAACTTTGCTGTGGCTTTTTTTACGGCAAAACAGTCCCCAGATAATAAGAACACTGACCGTTTTTTTTTTTAAAAATGACCAAAAGAACAATCTGCTTGTTTTTTTAATCTCTCTTTCTACAGGGGAGCTGCTCTCAAACCCCGACGGCTCCGCGGCCGATAAGCTGCGCCGTATCATCATCTGAGGGGTGAACATTTTCGTCATCATCCTCCTCTGTGTCTTCTTCTGAACCCTCTATGGGAGAGTAATACCCTTCGTATCCCAGCAACGGTGAATCCCGGGTCAGGCACTGTGCGGAGGTTGTTACGGTGGTGACGGCCGGTATCGTGTCGACAGTGGAGTCATAGGTGGTGGCTGGGGGGCTCCCAGAGGATGGTGATGAGGGGTTGGAGGCGCGGAGCAAAGGAGTGCGCTCTGACTCCGCCCCTGCCGAAGCTCCGCCTTCGTCATTGTCACCTCTGTGGGACACGGCCTCTTCGTCTGAGTCGGAGGACTCGGAATATTCTGGGTTTGAACGGGTCACGCGCTGCTTGCAGACAGGACACGTTTTCTTGGTCTGCGTGAGCCAGGGGTCCACACACTTGCAGTGATAGGCTGAGGAGCGACAAAAGAAAAAAACGCCACAACAACTTAGGACTGCAAAGATTAGTCAAAAGGTGATTATGAATAACGGTAACTCATCTACAATGTTGATTAGCAAAAATGTTGACATTTATTTAAGAACAAAATCTCCCTATAATAGTCACAGGATTCTAGCAGTCATTCTGACAGACAGTAATACACTACATCTACCAACACAGACAGTAGTAAATGACACATAATTAAGCCTCAAAATACAGTAGTGTCTGTTTTCTTACAAAAGAAATGTAAGATCAACAGATATTTGTTTCTAATATGTTATCAGTCAATTTATTGTTTACTTTATTTCAGCTTGTGTTATGACGTAAATAATTGAGCCAAGTGAGTCGTGGCAGAATTATACATGATGCTACATATCCAGTTGCCTCTGTCATTTGATGCAGCACTTGATTCATGCTATTTAAAACTTATTTTTAAGGCAAGTTATTTTTCATTCATGAATTTAAAATGCAATTTTTAACTATTATTGCGACTGTGAGCTTCAGATTAAGAAAAGGCTAATTAAAATCAGGTGAGCCGATCAAGAAATTGAAATCAGCCTTATAAATTCATAATCAGTGCATCCCTACACACACGTTTATTTACCATGTGAACATGGCAGAACTCGCAGCTTGTCCCCCTCTTCATATTCATCCAGACAAATAGCACACACATCATATTCATCACCTGAGAGAGAAAGAGAAAGAGAGAGAGAGAGAGAGAGAGAGAGAGAGAGAGAAGAAAAGACACAAAAAGAAAGAATAATTCCAAGAATCTGTATCTATACCAGGGACTCTGTCGCCCCCTAGCTTCACTCCAAGTGTTATTCAGTGCTTACTTACACCTTAAGTTATTCATATTCGTGATACTGCACCAACTGATTGTACTAAAATGGCTAAATGCTGTTTTAACCTGCATTTCAAAAGTCAGCAAATTCACACTTACATGATATAACAGTGTAAACAGCGCACTCTGGTGCAGTGGGAATGCTAAGCCAGCTGTGTCTCACCTTTAGTGAACTTGTGGATAGGGATCTTTTTTAGCTGCTCTTTTGTCAGTCTGTTCTTTCTCAGCCTCTTCCTGTACTGTACACAGCGCACAACCTGCTCTCACACACACACACACACACACACACACACACACACTTTACTGACCAAATGTAACTGTGGTAATGTGTCAAAAGAGATAAGACAATCCTTTATTAGTCCCACAATAGGGGAAATTCACAGTGCTTCAGCAGCAAAGAGATAGCAGGGCTCTCAAGAAAAGTAACAAGAAAAGAATGAACAGACAAGGAAATTAACCTTGTTAATCACTTAACACATATATATATATATATATATATATATATATATATATATATATATATATATATATATATATATGAGAAGTATTATATATTCAATATTTATATGATCGTTATATATATACATATATATATAAATAAAATACATATATAAAAGTATAGTATATATATAAAATTCTACATCTAAAAATACAGTCATATGCAAAACAATAAAACATAAAATATGCCACAACTTTTGCACAGGCCACTTTTTTATTCTATTATGTTAAACTCATCAAAAAACAAAAGTAATTGCGCCTTAAAAAGTGCTAGAGTGTGTTCTCTGTAGAGGATTCACTTAGGTGTGTTCACTTAGAAGATGTAATGTGTCCAGGGGCGTCCACATTTTTCACACGACTGCTTATACTATGTAGGCATTAAACATCTGTTCATCAAGATCAAGAAGAACTCTGTCATCCCAACTAGTGATGTACACAATTAACTGAATAACTGCTTACCGTCAAATAAAAAGAATCAAAGAATTGTTTGACCAATGCTAACAAAAAAAAAAAAATCATTTCTGATGAACAACAGTTCAAAAAGGGAACACTTCTGAAACATGCAGCTAAAAACAGTGGCGTTCAGAATGACAACACAACCTGTTTCTGACAGCTATTTCCTCCTCGTTCTCCAACAGAATGGTGGTGTAAGGAAATGGCACACGAGTGAGAAGAATTACGGAGAAGGACACAGTGGATGCCGATTGCTTTCGAGAGCTATTAAAGTTCAACTAGTCAAAGCTGCTCTGGTCATGGCATTTATGGCCAGTAACGACTAGTAAACAATTTTAGACCCTTAGAATATAGAATGTTCAGTAGCCAATCATTATATATATATTTCAATAATCAACAACATTTTAGTTTTTGGTTACTTAATCACTAAAACAGTCTATATTTTAATATATAGTATAATTATAATTATAGCTCCTCAGTTTTTAACAATACCAGGTTTTTACGTATGGCATATTTTTGTATATGTGTGTGTGTGTATATATATATATATATACACACACACACACACACACACACACACACATATTTATGTATATATCTCAGCCAGGATGAGCTCAATGTAAGGCTGAAAAATTGATTGTTTTTATATTGAAATTATATTGCAGCCTGCAACTTTGTGTTGAGTAAGACCACACAGAGGCAACCCTACCTCCATGTGTTGTGACATCACAATCACAACTTACTGGCTTTCTGGCACACTACATTAAGGGGTCAGGCCTCAAGCCAGAAAAAGTGGATATTCAGGTCTTGGTAAACAAAAAAAAAAAAGGTCTGAATCGCAATTTATAGAAAGTAATCACAACTTAAATCACAATATTACTCAGAAAAATCGCAATTAGATATTTTCCCCAAATCGTTCAGCCCTAGCTCCATCAGAGCCACGTTATGTCTGGGTTTTATCAGTACTGTAACAAGAGCCTTGTAATACTTGTGAATACTTGTGAATACCGCTATACTTACATATTTGAGTCTTAGCATTACAGCCTCTTATAAGACCTGAACACTTTTCTTATTGTCCTATAATTTAAACAGTCCACTCACCAGTATGATAACCATGACAATGAAGATGAGGCCCACCACACCGGTGAAGGGGATGAGATAGTAGGTGAGTGGGAAGGAGAAATCCGGTTTCAGGATGACGTAGGCCCTGCAGAGAAAATACAGCACCATCAGAACCCACAGCAGGCGGTAGTCCAGAGACGTCATTATATCTGGCTCCATCAGCCCCACCAGCACCAAAGCCAAAAACATGCCGACAGAGCCAATCATTAGCCTTGCTGGCACTGCTGTCCTCCAATGAGAACACAGCAATAGGCAGTGTGAGGAAAAGTTTGTTTGGAGAAGAGGAGGTGCCTGTCTGAAGTCCTTGTGTGGAATGTACAGTAAATCAGGTTTCGTTACGACGTCATAAAGATCGCGTTCCTTAGGTTCCCACAGCAACCCTTTGATTATTCCAAAAAGGGCAGTTGTGATTGACATACGCCATCTTCACATTTCAGGAGGTGAAAACAGGCTACTTGGCACGGACAGGCTTTCAAAATATCTGTTTTTTATCCGTAACTTAAGTGACAAGTAGACAAAGAATCAAATTGGTAAAATTCTACACCAAATGTAGTTGATGAACCAAGACATGTTAGGTGTGTATAAAAAGCTCATGCTTCAAGATGGCCGCTAATACCGTTTAATAACGTAGTGCAGGCCATATTAATAGATAACAGTGTGTCATACAGTGTCAGAAACCACTTAAACAAGTCTATCAGAGATTACTGAACAACCGTTTGAGACAACTGTGTGATTGTTTAGGTATGCAGTTGGTACAATGTTAATTGGTGGGGTATACTGGGGATTTCCATTACTTTTTAGCTACATTAGCCTCATAGCTCCAGTGTAAAAGTGATTTAGCAAACACCAGACTACAGGCTGATTTGACTACACTTGGTGTAAGTGAAGGAAAAACTGGTTCCTTTTTCAATTTTAATTCATCACATAATCAAACATTAAAGGCTCTCATAAATCAGGAGAAACCTAAAACATTTCTGGTCTTAAACTGTAATGTTCTTCACTGTAAAAAAACATGAACACCACTACAACTTTTTGTTGCCTTTGTATTGTTGCTGTGTTGATGATAGCTCGCTACTCGTGACTACATTAAAAGGAATGTGGAAATCCCGGTAAAACAGTTTAAAAAAACAAAACAAACACTTGAAAATCTAGGGGGAAAAAAAAGTCAGTAAACTGTAAGAACAATTTGAAAATCTAGAGAAAAAAAAACAAAAACAAACAAACAAAAAAAAGAATTGAATATTTTAGGGAAACAAACTGTAAACAGTTAAAAAAAAAACCCTTGAAAATCTAGGGGAAAAAACAGTAAACAAACTTGAAAATCTAGGGGAAAAACAAACAGTAAACAGTAAAAAAAAAAACAAAAAACAAAAAAAAACTTGAAAATCTAGAGAAAAAAAAGGTCATCATATAATGGCAACCACAGTAAAAGGCACAACACAGCACTTTAGTAACATCCATCAGAGAACACATACTTCTCATTTTAGAGAGGAGAAAAATTCATTTTCACTGCATGTGAGAGGAAGTGCTGCTTCCTTTCTGCACCAGGCAAATTCGCTGGCTCATGACATCGTTCTGGGTGACGGAGTCAGGATGTGTTTTTGCATCTCTCTCTTTTGTGTGAATCTATATATGTCTATATAAACACATGCAGACACAATACAAAAATGGATAGTATGACTAGGGACGCATCGATACCATTTTTGTTCAGACAGAGTTGAATTATCAGCACATATTTTTTTAGTACTCGCTGATATTGACTCTGATACCATACTGAGTAATCCAACTAGAATTAGGTAGTTGTTGGAGTAAATAAGTGCAATGTACCTTAACAAATCATTAAAATCTAACTGATTTTAAATGACGTGCATTAGCTAGCTATGTTACCTTAGATTGAGTAGCACTGCAGTGGAGAAGAGCAGGTTTTGTTCCACATCAGCTGTAAGTAAGTGTGTTTCATAGTCATATCCAAGGCTAATCCGAGGAGCTCTCGTATGAAGTTTTACACCAAAATATTTTTGATTGGCTGGTTGAGCTGTAGCTAAATGTCCTCTAAAGCCAGACAGAGACTGTGTGGTTTCAGAAATCTTTTTTTTTTTTACATTTTAATAGACCATCATGTTCGGACAAAGTCTACGATTTAAATACTCACACTGTATGAAAATGCTCTGTCTGACTGACCTGCTATGTGAAGCTCAGCCCCTACAGACAGCTTCATCTATAAACTATTTCAATTCTGAAATATACAAGATAGGGAAAAAAGACCGTATTAACGTTTATACCTCGCTATTATATTCAGTCAAACAAACCAAAGTCAACGTATATGAATGTTGGAAGGAAATTTTTCACCTCCGTTTTGTTAGCCTACATGTCTCCACCTGTACTAGGGAAGTGTCTGTGGTTGTGTTTACGTGTGTTTAAAAACAAGCTAAACAGTTTATTCTTGGTAGGAATCTGACAAGACGGGATGTTTAAAGGGACTGACAGCTTTGTTAATGACCACCATGGAGTCAGAAACACTTCTCTGTGAGAGCAGACCCTCGGTCACTGCCAGTCGTTTGTTGGTTAGCACAGCAGCGTACACTCTGCTTATGTCACATGGTATCAGTGGATACTGGATGTTGGTATCGGTGAATGTTTATGAGTATGAGTTAATGAGCAGAGTATCGGACTGACACCTGATACCAGCATTGGTATTGATGCGTCCCTAATTATGACATAATGTATGAAATATGTATAAATAATTATGATTATAATAATTATAATCATGTTAAAAAATTATGCACAAACCGTTCATCACTCCTTCAAGCATGTTTGTTCAGGATCAGGTAAAAAACGATGTTCTCACGATAAAAAAATAAATAAATACATTCTAATGAAACTTATTATTAAGAGTTCAAGCACACAGTGCATAGAAGCCTACTGGAATTGTCAAGATTTTTCTATTTTCCTATTATTATTATCATTATTCTTTTTCTGCCCTAAAGCAATCTGGCCAGAGCAAATTGTAAGCCGTGGAGACATGAAACTTGGTCAATAGGCAGTAGTCGCTCCCACTACTCAGGTGCACGGCAGGAGCCCAACCGGCCTAAAGGGGGCACTGTTACACAGCCCAACATGTTTGGCCTTATAACTCCTAAAGGATATTTTCAGAGACAAAATGTATTTTTCTTTCGGGATAAATTTAAACAAATGAGACAAATGATTACTCAGAATTAATCATCTCTCTGTGCATAATGAGCCTGTAGTGAACCTAATAACATATTGTTATCACTTTTATATTTATTTATGGGCTATAAAATCCCATGCCCATGAAGTAGCACAACCTCCTTAAGCTTTTGTTTGTTATCTCAAACAAAGAACTAGGGATCTCTGTGGGAAGATTGCTGGCATCGTTTGCTGTTTCTGTGTTTGTATCTCACCCTTTCTCTGGTAGGATGAAGCTGCGGAGGATCTGGGAGGCATAATAGCTGGTGAACACAGACGGGATCTCAATCATATCTGCAATAGTCTCTGCAACACATGCACACACACAGGATCAGACAATTTCCACCTTATACACAGTCATGCTGACAGTTTTACCTACATTGTCTATCAATATATGGTGTTCTTAAAGGAATAATAATCTTTCTCTTAGTCTTGACCTCCCGAAGGCCAGCTGCTCTAACACTGCAACTTCTCCCCGGCTTCCAATATACATATTTTGAGTCATCTAAATTATTGACTGTTGTGATGGACCATACTAATAAAGACACGGCAGATTAGGTTGGACAATACCAGAGAGTCCCTTAAAAGGACCCATATCCTACATTCGTCTTGTATTTTTCCCCACTTAGGTCCACTTATGAAGTCCCTTAGATTAAACAAGCTGCTTTTGTTATGGTGTCTTAAAGACTCACATTTGCAAACAACCTCAGTTCTGATCGGCTACCTTGCCTAAAACAGAAACACTCCTAACTTCACTGTGAATAGGGGAGGCAAAATGTAGACTGTAGGCTGAATAGGTGGGAGTAATTGAGTTGGTTTTTGTGACATCACAAAACCAAATTAAAATTGAGCTGTTTTTGCAGCTTAGTGTCAATACAGGGACTGCATGGACTGTGGTGTAAATGAAACGTTCAAAGTTCAAAGAAACGAAAAAGTGAGCAAAATGTCATTTTTATTGACCCTTTAAACATTGATTGTTGGAGTATTTTGTTTGTGTGTCTCACCGTTGCTGTAGTTCATGTTCAGCAGTGTGTTGGAGTACATGTTGTGGATAATGGCAGCACTGTAACCAGCCTGCTGAGCATGCAGCACCTGCACGAGGATAAAAAGAGAAACGATACTCAGGCAAAAGAAAACAGGTCTCCAAAGAAATTGACAGAAATATATTCATGTCAGTCAGTGCTTCAGACTAGGGCTGCAGTTCTACTGTTTACTTCTACAACTGAAAGCCATCAGCTACACTTCTTGTAGTGTATTACAGTCTGTCAGAATGACTGTGTGGATCATATGAACATTATAGAGCACTTTTTAAATATAACAATAGAAGTCGTATCACCCTCTACACTTCCTGTAGTGTATTACAGTCTGTCAGAATGACTGTGTGGATCATATGAACATTATAGAGCACTTTTTAAATATAACAATAGAAGTCGTATCACCCTCTACACTTCCTGTAGTGTATTACAGTCTGTCAGAATGATGGTGTGGATCATATGAACATTACAGAGCACTTATGTAAACAATACAAATGTCCTTTCCCCCTCAAAGTTGATGATATTTAGTTGCTCCAAGCCTACTTTTGATGTTATTTTTTCTTTATTCAGACATAAGTACTGGTTGCACATTTTATTTTATAACAGTATTTTTTTTAAATAATAATTTTAGATAATTGCCAGACCTGGCCCTGTTTCACTCATCGATCATGATGTTCCATGTGTCATAAACTATATTGTATTGTGTTACATTTTTGTCAAACCTTGGAAGTTAGTATGAGTGGATCATATTTAATAATCTGGTGCTAACTTTGATGTCGAAGTTGCAGTCGTAGCGGCGGATCAGGACAACGTATTTGGTGGTGCTGTTTGGATCAGTGGGAGTCGGAGACGCTGGAGGAGGATCTATAGGAGCGCAGGCATTCAGTGGACGAGACTCAATCAGCAAACCCTGAGAGGGAGGGGGAGAGAGAGAGAGAGGCCTGTGAATCAGTTCTAAATAATAAATAATTTATTTAAATTTTGTTTTATTTTACTTTTCACAACAAAGGCAAAAATTTTCAGTAAAAGTAAATGTATGATTTAAACTGGCCCATACAGGGTTTGCAACAGTACTTTCCTTCAAGCATTGAACACATAAAGTAACAACAACACAAACAAAAAATGTTAGTAATTGCATAAATAAACAATAGTACGTTTTTCTTTTTCTGGGCAAAATTGAGGAGACATTATTTTAACTCTAGCAAAAATACAGCATCTCTGTCTTCCTCTTTTCCTTCTGTTTACCATCATTCCATCCTTAGGCAGCGGAGAGCCGAAGAGAGCGGGCAGATCCTCCAGCAGCATTGAAGTCATATTACTGTAGTACTGCAACAGGAAGGACACACAGACACAGAGCAGGTCAACCATCCACAACACTAACTCTTCACTACTGCTGGGTACACTGAGCATAAACGACAATGAACAATAATAACATTAATGATAATAATACGCTCATATGCAAACGTTTGAGTACACATCCTCTACAGAGGACACACTTCTGCATATTTTAGAGCACAAACACTGTTTATTTGTGGAATTTACACATATTAATAAACAAAATATGAATTAAGAAATAAAAACATAAATTGCAGCCTGTATAAATAAATAGACTCACAGCGAAGATGAAGGCCTGTCCAGGAGATGGTGCCAGGACGCAGCAGAGGGTAAATGTCACAATCCCCAGGGGAGCCCCCAAACATGAGAGACCTGGATACACCATCCTGATACACAGGAGGACTGACAGAGAGAGAGAGAGAGAGAGAGAGAGAGAGAGAGAGATTAATGTAAGGCAGAATTTTTCCTGGTTCTGAAATATCAGCCAGTTTTTTTGCTTCTTGTGACGCAGCAACCACGTTTGCATGAACAGGGAAGCTAATCTGTCTAGTTACATTTTAATCCCTATGGAGGAAAACAAAGAACACAGATGAGGCTCTTTAGTGGGAGGAGTTACAGAGACTCCAAACTAAATAAACATGCTCACTTCCCTCACAGGTGGATGATCCAAACTCCAAGACACCACAGTATGGCCTCTCCATCACATGGCTTTGTTATCTACAGCTATGTTTATACATTGTGGGGGATACTGATCTATCAGAGGCTGCTGGACTATTAGAACCCTGAACCACAGATAAGAAACTACTTTATCTTGGGGCTCATTTTGTTCTTCAGTGGCTGTGAAGTAGCTGAGACACTAACAAGGGGCAAAGTATGATTACAAAAACATGACACCACAAGAGTTTTCCTGCTCAAATATATTGGATTGTCCTTGTGATCGATTATGTTTAGCTGAATCAGGTGTGGATGATTACAGGAATCACTGAACTGAAATAGGGGCCAGCCTACATGAACATTGTCAAAAACCCTAAAAATGGTTCTTCTATTGTACAAATGTTCGATATCGTAGCAACAGCATAACCATTTTTGGTGCAATATATAACCATTCTTTGAGTGTTTATGGTCACAAATAGAATCAATGGTCCACTGTCAGCTGACAGTACGGGACTTAAGTGCCCTTGAGCAAGGCAACTAACCCCCAACTGCTCCCTGGGAGTCGTGGATAGGGCTGCCCACCGCTTTGGGCAAGTCTGCTCACTGCCCCCTAGTGTGTGTGTGTGTGTTCACTAGTGTGCATGTATGTGGGTGTTTCACTGCACAGATGGGTTAAATGCGAAGGTCTAATTCCAATGTGTTCAAACACAGTTTGCTAAAGGTTCACTCATCCATTCATTCATTCAAATGTGTTCTTGAGAAAAGTCCTAAAAAAAAAAAGTCTGTGTCAGATTCTATGTCGTGTTCTCAAACTGCAGAACAGTTCTCACCTTTGTGCTTTTAAACGTGTGTAGATTCTGTTCTTACCTAAGAACAAATCCCAAATAAGAAAACATTTGTGAATGTCAGAATCTTCATCAAAACTGCACTTTTAAGAAGTGGCTTATAAGAAGAAATTTCTTCTTAAGTAAAGACAATGAGCCTCATTCTCCAACCATTCTCAAGAACCCTTAAAGAACATTTGTATATGAGTGTATATATAATTTTATATGGTAAAAAAAAAAAATTAATTTATAACCAACCATCACTAGTTAACAGTTAATTGTTCACCACCAAAACTGAAATCAGACCCATCAAAATATCAACTGTACAACAGAAACTCACAGATCTAAAAGCTGACTAGCTGAGCTGCATTCAAAGCCATTGTTAAATGCTTGATATATGCACACACATCAGCTGCATTCTGTATTATGTGCCAAGACCAGGGCAGATCACTAATTATGAAAGCGCCACATTTAAACTCACTGAGCTCTTCAGTATGACCCATTCTACTGTTAGCGTCGGTCTATAAAGAGCGTATGATTTTTTACATCTGTTAGCAATGAGTGTGAAAATGCCTGAACTTGGTAATTAGGAGGGGTGTCCATATACTTCTGCCATATTGTGTATAACTGCCAGTTTGATATGAACTAATTATAAATAAAAAAACTTTTCACCTTTATGAGCCAAATTTCTGCTGACGCTCATAAATTCATGTAACGTTACCTATTAAATGTTCAGAAATATCAGAAAAGCTTCTAATTGTGAGTTTTTCCTCACTTATTATATGACATCTTGAGTTCTGGTCACATGGGACTAGAGATGCAGAGAACATAGATACTTTAATACTTTTTTAACACTGTAATTTGAAAACATAAATCAATATACTTACTTTCAACATTTTTGTGTATTGCTAAAGAAAGAAAAAACGACACGTTAATTAACCCTCTGGGGTCTGAGGGCATTTTCTTGATTCATATATTCTTAAACTCGCCTTTAAAAGCCCTTGCATTCAACATGATACCCATGTTATGTAACAAAATGTTCAGAACAAACTCGACTCTCTCTATAACGAGGCCCCATTTGAACTGGGGCACTGTGTAAAGAGATAATCGACTCTACAGCTGAAAAGTTTTGAAAATTCTTAATGTCTTTTGTGAAAACACAGCTTTACTCATGTCCTTAGTGATTTACTGAGCATCCATTGGTCAGTTTCACACAAAATGTAGACGGACACAGAAATCCAACAGTTCCACACGGTGAGAGGCAGATGACGTGTATCTCAGCCCCTCTTCACAGGCTTCTAACTCCGGGTGTGAGTCAAGTATGATCTCATGATAAGACGGAATGTACAGGGCGACTCAACAGATACAGGTAATGTTTGAACCGTATTTCTGTGCTGGATTATCACAAAGATATTAACAGAAACATCGAGAAACATCTAATTTCACGTTCGTTGACCCCAGAGGGTTAAGCTGTAAAAATGTAAACATTTTTCTGTTTCAATCCAGTAAACATTTGGTTTTCAGACAGTAACGAGTGTTTTTATTTTATTTTTTTGCCAAACAATTGTTTAGTATTGTGATCCTACACTTAGTACTGAAATCAAAACTGTGGTATTGTGATACCCCTACATGAGTTTACTATGAATTGCAAAGCAAAATGAAAAAAATTATTTTATCATATTAAACAGAGTTTTGGGACATGAATGGGTAAATGTCAACTGATTTTATTGACAAAGCAATGTACCAGTCTAGCCCTGACCCTAAGCAACTACAAATGCTTGAAATAACCTGAACCATTTTAAAACAAAACAGCCACCATTTTCTAGCACAAGCCCCAAGATTTACATTCAGGAAGCTCTGACAAAGAGGTATTTGCATGTTTGCACAGAGTGTATGCACGTCAGATGGCTAAATACTGTATCTTATTGTTTTTAAGCGCTGTAAACAATACAGGAAGGGCTGGACGCCAGCTAATGCAACAACCATTGGGACCAAGCCTCAGCTAGGTCAGTCTTCGGGAGGTAACTCTGGGCTCTGTTCCCTCAAACCAGTCCAGCAGGAAGGACTCTGTTACGACAGCCAACCACAGAAACTGCCAACGACAGACACACAGATAAACACAGAGAGAAACACAAAGCAGATAACAGATTCAAGGACAGAAAGGAAAGTAAAGGCTATTATTAGGTATTAGAATTAATTAGATATTAAAGGCCAAAAATGATAAGATATGAATTAGAACTGTCCCCATTAATCAGTTAAAAAAGATTAGCTTGAACCTTTTCTATGAATCGGCAGCAACTAGTCTTAAATTCTCCTACATTACACAAAAAAAGATGGTTCTTCAAGGGTTCTTTAGTAAAGAAAAAAGGTTCTCTATAGAACCATCAACACTCCAAGAACCCTTTGCATGACAAAAGGTTCTTTACATTTTTTGTGTAGTGCCTTTACATCATGAATGGGTTCTTCAGATTGATAGAGAGTGCAGCAGATAGTTCTGTACAGAGCATTTTTGAAAAGGGTTCTATATAGCACCCCAAAGTGTTCTTTTACAGTTACAATGTCAAGCTTGTAACAATGGAAGAACCCTTTTTGGTGCTAACAGATTCCTTTTAAAAATGGTTCCATTTAGAACCATTTACCACACATTCTCCACCAATCTGAAGAACAATTAATGTCACAAGGAACCATCTAATCATGCAAAGGGTTCTCTGATTGTTCACGGTTCAAACACAAACCATTAGAAGCCTAATGAGTACCTCTCTGTGCTGGCACTGAACCCCGCTCTCCCTCGCTGGGGACGAATAACTGTTCAGCTAAAGATGAATTACTTTATTGTCATTGCAATAGAGTTTCATTGAGTACAATGAAACAGGGCAGCGATCCTAACAGTACATTAACAAAAATACATTAAACTAGGAATAAAACAGAAATATAAGCTGAAATACATGCAAAACATTAAAAGGAAAGACTATATAATTCAAAATTATAAAAAAGAAAACTAAAAAGGGCAAATATAGAAGAATATAGCAGCTATGGTATTGCACATGGTGGTATTGCATGCTGTGGACAGCAGTAATTCTATTTACAAATAATGCAGTTTAATAAATAAATATAAAAGTTCCAATGAATGTAAACATCTTAATATTTAATATTCCTTGAATATGTTTTGATAGAGAATTATCTGTAGTTGGTAGATTTTTGAAAAGGGTTCTATATAGCACCAAAAAGGGTTCTACTGTTACAAGCTTGACATCGTACCAATAGAAGAACTCTTTTGCATACTATATAGAACCCTTTTCAAAAAGGTTTCTATACAGAATCATTTACAGCCCTTTCATGATGCAAAGAACCCTTCAATCATGCAAAGGAGTCCTTTGAGTGTTTATGATTCTTAATAGTATAATTTTACTAAATAAACCTTAAAGAACCATCTTTTTTAAGAGTGTAGGAGAATATAGGACTAGCCGCTGCTGATTCATAGGAAAGGTTCAAGTTCATCTTTTTTTATTTTTGTTTTAACAGACTGATGGAGAATGTTCTGTAGATGGTTCTATACAGAACCTTTTTGAAAAGTGTTCTTTTTATAGACCTTGAATATGTCTTGGATGGTGCAGGTACGCACTTAATTCCAAAACACCCATGCACAGAAACTCAAGTCTGTAAGAAAGTCTGTAAAAACACTTTCGGACAGTTTCTACTGTCACAACAATCATATTTAAAAACTAAGCAAAAATAAATAAACGCATAAAAAAAGGTATTCATTTTTGTGTGCCTATGTAAAAAACAAATATATATTTCAGAGGTGGGCAATACCACAAAAACAAAATTTTGATACTTCGTATATTCATGATATACGACATTACGATATTTATTTTTTTCAGACATCTGATCAGTTTGACCAGAACCATTAGTGCCAAATTTTAAAACATATCAAAACCTGTAAAAATAATAATTATTTTTGATCATTATCATTTCATTTGATATCATTTGACGACTGAAATCATCTGATGATTCAATATCTGGCATCCTGTGTTGCACTAAACAGGACTAATTTTGCTCTCTGTATAATGAAGCATGCAGTTGGTCAGTGTTCATTCAGTTGCGATAACCACAGTATGTTCAGACAAGCATGTTGTCTTGCAAAGTAACATAATTTATCACGATAATGATATATATTGTCATACTGCCCAGTCTTAATATATTCATTTGTTTCTTTGGCCCTTATAAAAAACCTGTTGAGGTAATGTTGACTGTTTCTCAGCCTCTCAGTGCACAAAAAATCTGTTGCAGTTCTGATGCAAGTAGCTGTTTTTCATTTCTTTTGAACAATAGTAAATGACGCTTTTGTAATGTTATTTTTTTGTAATATTATTTTCTTAGGAGAGGTTAGTTACATTTATGTTTACCCATAACATCTGTACTTGCATTACATCCAGTCAGAGGCACACTATTATTAACAATTTATCACTTTTCATATCGTCTATGAGTGCGTTTACATGCACTTAATAACCTGATAACTACAGAAAATCAGACGTTTATAGGCTCTTAAGTAATCAGATAATGGGGAAACTACAAGTCTACATAAGTCAGGCAGTAATCGGATTTCTGCATTGCAAACAGCCAATAAACTCACAGAAGAAGACGTGACGTAAACGTAACGTAAAAAACTCAAACTTCATGCCGCGGCTTTTTTTTACAAAACATTGTGCTGCTTTACCTGAAAAATATGAACCTACATCATCTAGAACATGAAAAATATTGAAATCCTTCATTTTGTGTTTGGTTTCAGGGCCGCTCCAAAACTGTTTCGCTGCTTTCTCCTGGCATCGCTGCTTGCTTATATCTGGTACTGCCATCTGTTCTTGCACATGCACAGACTGAGAAATGTGAAAGAAATCAGAGTGAGTTTACATGCACTGAGAAATCTGATTATTGAGTTAAAGTCCAGCTCTTTTTATCAGACTTTTTAATCAAATTTCTCGATCAGAGAATGGTATTACATGACCATTTGAATAACCAGATAACTGCAGAAATCCAATTATGATTGGATTATTGAGTGCATGTAAACTCACTCATTGTGATATCTGGGCAGGCTTTACTGAACATTGCAATTTATGTTCATACTTAAAGGATTTTTTGTTCGTATTATAATCCCTAGTTTAACTATTTGTAATACAGTATTCTGGAATATCTGAAAGTCTATGTTTGTTTTAGTTCAAGTAATTCTATATTTACAGTTTGGCCTTTGTCTTACAGAACAGATGTCGCAAGCTGGACGTTACCTCCTACATACTGACAGCTCACAGTCACCCATGTGACAAACAAAGAGCCTCAAGATTTGCATCTGATGAGCTCAGTTCCTTTAGTGGTAAAGCAACTGTTGTCCAAAGATCAAAACTTACCCTCACTGTTTCACCTCAAATACAATCAATGAGCCTAAAGTTATTTCCATTCATAAAAGACCAGCTCCCCTCGCTGAATGAGGAGACGTTCAGTTGGGCAAAGAACCCTTTAATCATGCAAATGGTTATTTCATTTTCAAAGTTCTTTACAGAACCATTTTCTTTACTCAAGAACTCTTGAGGAATAAGTGAGGTATATATTTTATACCTTGTTAGCCACATTAGCCTCGTAGGTCCAGGGCTGAATCTAAAGAAGCAAAATTCAGATAACAAACATATTTGAATGTTTACCTGCATTTGGAGCACAGAGGGAAAAATGTGTATTTTTTTGCTGTACTATTGCTTTAAGATATCTCTCAAAAATGCTTTGTGGCTCATTTCCTGTTGTTCGGTGCAGTAAAGCAAACAGCAATTATCTCACTGCCCTTGACAAAATATGAGCCACTCCCACAGTCACACCAGGGCTTTGGAATATCACAATACCATCAGAGTTAACTCTTAAAAATAAAGGCTCCATTCCAATTAAGAACCGCTACTGGTTTCTCAAAGAATCAAATGACGGACCTAGCATGGTTCAAGTGGATTTGTGGATCTTGTACAGTTTTACAGAATTATGTCTGTAAACAAGATGTACAAGAACCTTTTTTAAAGTTTGAAGCACCTCCATATAATGTAATGGTTCAATTACAATAGTCATCTTCTGAGCCTGTAGCGCAGTGCTATGTGGGAGCTGTTGGCCCATTATAAAGACATCGACCAAGAGACTAGCACCTGCTTCCTGAGTCATAAGACTTTAGAGAAATGAAACAGTGCTGAGTGATTCAGCAAACCGTCAGAGAAGCTCCTGCTCATCCAGAGTCCAGTCATCCTTCAGTATTTAAAAGACCAAGTCCAAAACTGGACGGCTCAAAGCAATGGAACAATAATGCTCATCTGAGACCAGCTTCTGCATTTATGTCTAGATCGACATGAGCAGAGTCACAGAGAAGCTTCACATTAAGAAGGAACTTCTAAAGGAACTTCTTTTCACTTCCTTCAGATACTTACCAGGAATGTATTTTAAGACTTAGATACCACAGCATTTTAATAAGATTTATTTTCTTCTGTTCATTTTATTATTATTGTTTCGGATCACTGTGTTTTACATGCATGGTGTATGCAGGGTCACCCAACCCAAACACACATAACACATTCAAAGACCACTGATATTTGCCCACGATCAAAGAATTCTTCCGTGATTTGTAATTTCTACAATGTACCCTTCCCTAGGGCTGGGTGTACACTGCACGATTTCTAAAATCTTAGCAGATTTCTAAACCCGAGAGCATTACAAACTTAGGCCCAATCCCATTTCTCCCGTCGCCCCTACCACTTAGCCTCCATGTCTCAAACACAAGGCCTTCAGGCTAGATCAGGCCCACGACGCAATCCTACCCGGCCCGCAAAAATATTTTACTTTGCTATTAATATTAGCTCTTTTCACAATGCGCTGCATTATAGTACCCAGCATACACTGCAACGTAATGTGAGCTCTGACTAAAAATGAAATAAAAACATCTTTATTCTCCAGCCTACAGACTTGTTGAGATCTTTTAATATGGCCCTTTTAGTGATTGAGTTTGACACCCCTGACTTAGTGAAGTGTTAGGGCTACATGACCCTCCAAACGAAGGTTTTTCAGAGGCACACTCCAAATGGAGTGTTGAGGAAAAAAATAAAAACCGGCAAGATGGCTGTGTAAGCGACCAAAGAAACCCACAAATGTAAGTATTTTCTCTGTTAAAAAAAAATACTATAACCATTCTTTTATCTTAGTTTAATGTGCTTTCAGTGTATTATGGTCCTTTTCTTCATAAGCACAAAGAAATTCCTTAACAGTATACCGATGTCTCAGTAGCTAGCTAGCTAAATTTCCCGCTCCACCTTAAAAAGTCCAGTATAAAGTCTTTGAACTAAAAAATGAACGCAACTACATAATGGAGCCATTCCTTCTTCCTCTTCAGCTTAAGAGTTGTAAAGGTTTTGCCACGTTGAAAGTCTCATCAGCGTTTTTCATTCATAAAAAGATGGATTCAGCGAGAAAGCACTTTACAAAGTGTCTGCGTAACTGAGATAAATGCAAGCGTGAAGTTTCACACCACACATCGAAGCATAGAGCACTTATGCATATAAAAAGGGAAAGATAAGAAAAATATCATTCTTCATATTCTCTGTCACTATTTGCCTTCTATTACCATTTTCCCCTATATATGATCACGTGAACAGCGTACTGAGCTGTACATGAAAAACTTGCTAGGTAAACAGAGTTATTACAATAAATACAGCTCCACATGTACAATCAGCTCTCCTCTGGGATTTTTCCCTTAAACGACAGCCTTTTTCATCCACATACACAGAAAACCTACAGTGCTCTGGAGGCCGTCCAACAGATGAGATTAGTTTCTGCCTTTTGTGGATTCGGCGGCCCTGGGCTAACAGTCAGTGCGGTTCAGCCATGTGATGTTTTTTAATCAAAGTGTCTTCTGAGGTTGCGAAAGAAAAGAAAAGGAAAGAAAACAGACCCTTCCTGTATGGAAATCACCGAAAAAGAGGGAGCATCCTACAATCTCAACTACTCCCAGGCAAGCTGAAGGAGCTTGGTTCAACCTACAGTTAGGAAATACAAATGTACAGAAATCTCTTGCTTCTTGTAGGCGACATTTCATTAAATCCAACACAGGCAGCTCACAAAACAACCCAAAAGAGACCAAATCTCATGCTTCAAAATGTGACTGCATTGGGAAAGTGGGGATTTCTGCTTGTTGTGTAACAGCAATCCCAACTGCTGAACGACTTAGCCTACATTTTCAGCACTGGAACTTACATGAATATATACAATATTACACAATTGAACACACCCTAAACAGCCACCTTAAAAGTGAGTCACCTTAAAGTGTTTGTCCCACATTTTAAGTTAACTTACCTGAAATATCTCAGATAACCCGGAGCTGAAGCCAGCTACTCATTCCAATTTCCCGTTCTACCTTAAAAGGTGCTGCAGTTACAATTATAGGAGTTGTGTACACGTAACTGCTGCACCATTTAAGGTGGAACGGGAAACTTCGAACAAGAAGCTGACGATTAAGAAGCTTTAGGTAACTTGGTTAACTAACTAGTTACTGTTTTGACAATAGTAAAGCACCACTACACCACCAAAACAGCAGTGTAACATTCAAAAGGCACTTAAGATCACTAAATTTCTTTCATAGCACCAAAAGAGACATTTACAAGCATAGTTTCTGTTAGTTTGTGAGTGTACTTACGGTTCAAATGTTCAGTTAACGTTTATGCAGATTTGTAGTCAGGTTAGCAACCGAGCCGCTAAACCTTCTCGCCCAAAAAGCCCAAAAAGCCCAAAAAGCCCAAAAGGACAAAACCAATGTCGTTTATTCCTCACGGGAGCGTTTCAACACAAGCGACAACGATTTCTTTCCGAACGTACTGACTCCAAACACCGCAGGTTATGTGCATGTCATGGCTCGTTAGTCAGAGAAAGCGACGTTTTCTGGCTCCTTCTTCTTGCTCAGCCGTGTTTACGCTTCCAAAACAAGGCCGAGTGAAAGCAAAGCAATGGATACGCTGTTCTCGCGAGAGTTGTGTGTACGCTGAACAGGCAGTTCTCGCGATATTTCGCGGATCATAACTATGGATATGAGGTCCTGGAACTTCAATTCTCATCTTTTGGCTTAAGTTATCTGGCTAACTGAGAAATCATGCTTTGTAAAACACCGTCAGATTTAGACTACCTTTCTAACTGAGTTGTATACTGATTATTTCATGTTTTCTTCTTCTTTTAAGATAACTTTCAAATAGCATGGTGTTTGGCTAGTCAGTGTTATCTGCTACTAGAGTTGGGCGATATGGCAAAAAAAGTAATGTTGCAATACTTCAAGAAGTTTTTACGATACATTATATATCACGATATAGATTTCTGATATCTGATGAGTTGGAAAAGTCCTAGCTGTGCTGCATTTAAAAAATAGCTTAAAAAACTATGAACACAATGATTAGTATTCAACGTCCAAATTACTTACTGCACTGCACTAAACTCAATTAAACAGGACTAATGAACTACACTCTCTTTGTAAGCAAACAGCCCTGTGATGGACTGGCGACCTGTCCAGGGTGTTTCCTGCATTCTGCCCAGTGACTGCTGGGATAGGCTCCAGCACCCTTGCGACCCAGGAGGATAAGCGGCTTAGATAATGTGAGTGTGTGTATAAGCAAACATGCACTTGGAAAGTGTTTTTTCAGTACTGATTATATCCACAATATGATCAGAAAAGCATACTGTGACATGTTGTGAGGTAATTTATCATGATGACGATAAATAGTTATATTGTCCTGCTACTACTGAAGGAAACTGCTGAAATATTTCTACCTGTATAGTTCACATTCTACTTGCTTCTCAAATTTCTCATTTAGTCAATGTGCAGTTCAGTTTTCTGTATTTAAACACCTGCTGTTACATATTTAGAGTCTAGTCTAGCAAATGTCACCTAAAATACCACAGCCAAATTCATAGTACTGGATTGCGCCATGTTGGTAGGTGAGCTGTAACTCTGTGCTCTGATAGAGCTTGTCTCCTCACCATTACTGCAGATACAGCCCTGCAGGTGGATAAAAAACAAGTAAAATAGACCAGAATGGCCATTAAAAACATGAAAAGACATGCGGACACTTTAGATGCATCTCCAGAAAAACGCTACAAGATTAGCTAGACTGGTGGACTGGATCCGTTTAACCTGCACATCTCCAAAGTTCAGAAAATTCCAATCTGTGAGATTTTACAAAAACGAATAAATGTAGCCTCCAAAGCTCTTAAATAGTAAACTCATACACAAACATACAGCTTAAGTCAGCTTCTTATTCACTAGCTTCTCATCTGAATTTTCCATTACACCTTAAATAGTGCTGCAGTTACACTGAGGCACCTTAAACGTAGAATGAATTACGAAAGTTGGCGAATACAAAGCCAGCATCAGCTTAACTCAGTAAATGCATTAATTTACCTCAATAAATGATCCTTAATCAACAAATTCCTCAAACTTTCACAGCAGAGCAGCTGTTGAACGGGCCTCACTGGCTGATCTAACCCTGCATCCCAAACCACACACTTCTGTACTTCACCTAATACACTAATGAGTGCACTCTCTAATAGTATAAGCACTATTCTTACACACTATTTAGTGAGCTAGTATGCAGTTTAGGATGGAGCACTAGTAACACAGCGAGAAATCTCAGCTTTCATTTGTTATCACTACAGCAACAAATCAAATAAAGTCAAAGCAATATACTCAAATATATGCATTAATATGCTTTAAAAATGGGATTAAACGTGTTTTACTGCCTTTGCTGGATCTGTTATGACTTTATTATCTCATTACAAACGGCTGCAGCGCTGCAGAATGAACCTGATGTTGCCTTCCAAAATGGCGGCAGCACAATTGTGACGTCACTGGAATACTGTCAATTGGAAATGATGACATTACAATGGACAAACCAAAGTGTTCTAATCACGTGAAAGGGGCCACTCAGTTTACTGTGAGTGCTGAAACCACCAACTCAACCCACACACACAGACCCCAAAATGGTCCTGACGCGTGCACAAAGAGCACGCAGCGAGCAAGTACGCAGAACACAGCGGCCTCTAGGCCGCAGAAGGCCCAGACATGTCCGGGAATCAGGGAACGTCCCAACAAGGAGGCGTAACCAGTTGGTGGGGAACAGACTCCAGCGCAGACCTCTCTTACAGAACCCTGACCTCATCCGCCGGCCCAGTGCAAGGGCCGGGCGACGGCTACAGCCTCTCCTCGCACACCGGCGCTTGCCAAGGGCCCGAAGACGCTTGAGAAAGGAGAGGACATGGCGGAGGCTGAGCAGGATCCCTCAAGTGAAGAGGTTTTCTGCTGTGAGCAGAAGAGTGCCCACTGGACAGCGGAGGGAATAACACTGCAAGTGAGGTAGCCAGCAGTTGTGGGAGAGTGGACCACGGCTGCTTTGTAGACCTCAATAAAAGTCCTGAAATTCTGCTCTGTAGTTCCGGACACTTTTGTGTAATAGAACAAGCCCAACAGACACATACAGGTCTGTCTGCATAGAGCAGGGGTGCACAACTCCGGTCCTAGAGGGTCCAGCACAGTTTGGTACTTCCCCTTCTCAAACACACCCACTAAATCTGGCAATTAACAGATGAGTGTAATCAGGTGGGTTTGAGCAGGTAAATCATCAAACTCTGCTGGACATCAGCCCTCCAGGACTTGAGTTGTGCACCCCTGGCACAGAGTATCAGGATGCCGGGCCATACATACATACGTCCACATCACACAGGCAGACATGCACAAACACCATCAGAGTAACGCAATATTACACTAGACTAAACAGGGAAGTAAATCTAAAAGAATCAGTGTTTGTCAGCTTGATTCTATTAAACATTAACGTTTTTGGTCATTACACAGCTAATAGAAAGACAATGGCTGACCTAGAGGCACTCATTAACGCTAACACATTTTGGGTCTGTTAACCAGACACTTTAAACTGAGAATTAAACAGGAGTTTTATAGGGAACCTACAGTGAATGTGTAACTCACTGACTAAATGCACGCACATGCACACACACACACACCTGTAGGTCCCTATATGTAATAATGACATGCCCTGAATGTATTATATATATTTAAGGATATATATAGTAATGAATATGCCCCATATATCACACATCTAATCTATATGCATGTATCATTAAAACCACCTCCTTGTTTCTACACTCATTGTCCTTTTTTTCAGCTCCACTGTCCGTATAGGAGCACTTTACAGACTGTAGTCCATCTGTTTCTCTGCATACTTTGTAAGTCCCCTTTTACCCTGTTCTTCAGTGGTCAGGAGCCCCATGGACCCTCACAGACCAGGTATTATTTGGGGGTTGGATCACTTTCAGCACTGCAGAGACACTGACCTGGTAGTGGTGTGTTAGTGTGTGTTGCGCTTGAACGAGTGGATCAGACACAGCAGTGCTGCTGGAGTTTTTAAACACTGTGTCCACTCACTGTTCACTCTATTAACAACTCCTACCTTGTTGGTCCGCCCTGTAGATGTGAAGTCATAGACGACAGCTCATCTGCTGCTGCACAGTTTGTGTTGGTCATCCTCTAGTCCTTCATCAGTGGTCACAGGACGCTGCCCACAGGATGCTGTTGGCTGGATGTTTTTGGTTCTCAGTCCAGCAGCGACAGTGAGGTGTTGAAAAGCTCCAGCAGCACTGCTGTGTCTGATCCACTCATACCAGCGCAACACACACTAACACACCACCACCATGTCAGTGCTGAGAATGACCCATCACCCAAATAATACGTGCTCTGTGGTGGTCATGTCCCCCACATGACCGTTGAAGAACAGGGTAGCAAAGTATGCAGAGAAACAGATGGACTACAGTCTGTAATTGTAGAAACACAAAAACAATCACACACATATTTCACCAACATTTATCTTTGTTTATTTAAACCATAAAAGCAAACCAACACATAAGCCAGTCTTAAAGAAACAACTATTCAGAAGACATTATTATCCTCAGATAAACATGTAAAATGTGCAAGACGACTCTAGAGGAGCAGTCGATTAACAGGGTGATTATTAACGACACTGATGATACTGATTCATTTAGGCTTTAGACTCTTTTAAGCCAAGGCATTACAAGGCTTCATCACTGATAAACTGCAGACTCCCTGCCGTCTGCTCTTTTCTAGAACACCAGACCAGTTTTCTTATCAGTAAAAACCCTCACTGGACTAGATCTGATCAAAGCATTTACCTCTTTCACCTTTCAGGTGCTAAATGGCTCAAAAAAATCTCTTAGTGTTTGAGGAACACAGGTTGACTCGAGGGAACATTAAAAGTATGCAAATTGTACGTTAACACTTCAATATGCATCGACTGCACACAATCATTCCAGAGACGTGGACGCAACAGGACAAAACGGGATTACAGGCTGATAAAAACATACGTTTAAAGGGATAGTCCAGTCAAACAAATCTTACATGGCTAACAGTGAATAAAACAGCAATGACTGAAGTATCCCTTTAAAAGTTATTTGCTGTTGTGCCTCAATGCAACCACTAGAGGTCACTACAGTCACAAAAACGATGACAGTACACTTACAGTTAGACACACCAGCTGTCTTAAAGAGGCAACATGTACCTGAAAAATAAAAACTTATCATTTGTGCACTAAAATCATAGCTTTAAAGCGATAGTTTGGCAAAAACTAGCAAAACAGCCAAAACACTTGCTCCTTTAGTTTTGCACTGGAGGCCAATAACAGTAATGGAAGCTTTACCCCACCAGTTAAACAGCATTGTCCAAACTTGCCTCAAACCATGCAGAGGTGGTAAATAATCTCCAATAGATTTGATCGTGTGGTTTCTGGCACTGTATGATACTCTGTTATCTATAAACATGGACTAAATTCTGGCATCAAACTGGTTGCTACTGTTTTTGTCCATGCCCTGTATTTTTGTCAGTTTTCAAACCTCTAACTTAAAAGTTCTGAGGAATCTGAACGATGCTAATTGGTGGGATATAAGCTTCCATGT